AAGTGAGTGTTTCCAGACTGTGGGCCATTGTTTTGCTTTCCATCTTCATTAGCATATTCTTGAAGATTTTGAAGGACTCCTTTTATGGAATACTTCTATTGATATCCCATCTACCCCCGGTTGATCTGTTTCTCCCCATTGCTCTCAGTGCAGTTTTCTCTTTACTTTCTAAAACCGTTGGTTCTTCTTCAAAAGAGTCTTCTGGAAAAGAATCGGTCATTCTTTCATCTCCTTAGTATAATTCCTCAGTGTATTGTTCCCATCTTTTCTTAGATATTTTGCTAGATTTCTTCTTCTTACCTGGCTGTTGTTTCTTTCCATTTCTTCCTCTTACCTGGCTGTTGTTTCAGATGTGGGGACGATCTGTGAAGATGGAAGCAAAGCTCTCTGAGGCAGAAGGAGCTCCGTCAGAGGAAAGTCAGAGGGCACAGGCCCAGGAGGATGCCCGAGATGCCCTGTCAAGTGGTAAGGGTGCCTCCTGCCTAGATAGGATCGGGGCAACTCGTCAAGTTGTTGGGCAGAAGGTTCAAGAGAGGAGAAAAGGGGAATACTTTTGCGGACTATGCAGAATGGAGTTCTGGGACACAGAGTGCCATAGGCTGTCCTGATGGCCTCTCCACTTTAAAGGGGAGTAGACAGATTCATGGAGGGGAATTCCATTCTTATTTGCATTAATTAAAATGTGCCTCTCTCAGCTTTCTTCCATTAGAGGGTCTCAAGATGGGTCAGAAAAGGAAGGAAAGGAAGAGAAATGAGGGTGCAGCTATTAGCCAAGGTGAATCAATGGAATCTCCACATTCACAGGACCTGGATGGCCGAGGCTAGCTGAGTCTCCTCAGATCTCAGAAGCTAAGCAGGGTCAGCCCTGGTTGGTTCTCACATAGGAGACCACCAAAGAAGTCCAGGGTTGCTCTGCAGAGACAGACAAAGGCAGACCACCTCTGAAGGTCTCTTGCCTCGAACAACTGTAGGTTCATTATAAGTTAGCTGTGACTTCACAGCACTTTAAAAGCATTCCCCCCCCCCCGCCCCACGTTCTGGGGCAACATACCTCTGAAACCCCATTGCTAGGGGTTTGAGGGTAGTGCATAGGGTGGGCATGATGTCATGTCGATGTCTAAGCTGGCCTAATGTCTGGATCTGAAATCAGAGCATCAGCAGACACCCTGGAAACCCACTGGTTGTACCCTAAAATTTCCAGAGCCTTGGCTGATGCGCTAAAATCACGTCTGGGTTGGGTGTGTGTGTGTGTGATGCCGACGTGTCGTGCAACATGATTTATGGTCCCTTCTTTTTCTCCTGCCAATCCAGACTCCAGGATGGGTGGAAGGGCCCAGCAGGTGGGAAATGGCAGGCCTGGGTTTTTGGTCTGTTCCAGCAGGGGTGCTGCAGCCTTTGGAGCTCCAGGGTTCACAGGGCACATTTCAAGCCTCACAGGAGTGTTGGCAGCATTTATAAAACCAAAAGGCTCATGGGTACCTGATGCTTCTCTTCCACCTCTTCGACACCTTACTAAAAGTCATTACAAGTTTTCTCGAGTGTAAAGAAGAAAAGGTTTCACAATCCTGGGAGCAGGGATGGGTGAAGCAGAATTCAAAGAAGCGAACAAAATAGGAACTGGAGGTTAACATTCATCCTTCCAATTTTGTCTCCCTTGCAGGCAGTGAAGAAATATCAACCTGTCGTCTTTTCAGAGGAATGGAAACAGCTGCTCCACCTCTGGTCAAGGTAGGGGGGGAAGACTGGGGGATAGTCAGGTCCCCTCTTCTTTCTCAAGGAGGCTTTTGGTTCTGCTAACCGAGGAGAGACAGGCTCTGAACCCCACTCTCTTGATGCATGCCAAGCTCTTCATCCTGGACCCTCCCAGAATGCCCCCGTGGAGAGTGTAGTCTCTGCCTGGACTGATCTCTGACGAGGGAATCTGCTTTTCCTTTCAGGCTCCCTTTTCCTTTGAGGAGGTGGCCGTGTATTTCACTGAGGCCGAGTGGGCCTTGCTGGATTCTGGCCAAAGAGCTCTCTACAGAGACATCATGCTGGAGAACTATGAGACCGTGGCCTCTCTGGGTAAGGATCTTTCATAGGTGCCAAAGGGGCAAATTGCTGCCAATGGGATGATGCATGAATCAAAGTATTGAAAAGCAACATGTGGTTGTGAAGACTGCTTGGCTACCTCCCCCCACACACAGGGGGTCTTGAGGTGGGGGTAGCAGTAAAAGCGATGGTTCAGCATGGCCAGTGTGGTGGGCATTGCCCAAGCCAAAGAGGGTGTCCTGGTCTGAGGCTGGGGTGGGTGGGTGAGAGGCCCTCAAAAAGAGTCTGGAAGGGACCAGATCCCAATTTCTCAGTGGCCAGCCTTTACAAGATGCCCTTCCCCGAGATGGGATTACGGTCATCAGCACTGACTGTGATCTGTAAAGGATCCATCCCCCTTATACTGGTTAGGATTCTGGTCTTTGATCTTGACCATGTTTCTGTCCTTCCAGAAGAATTTTTCCTCTCCCTTGGATTTCTTTCTGTTCCCACATAAATAACAACATAAGAACATAAGAGAAGCCGATGTTGGATCAGGCCAATGGCCCATCCAGTCCAACACTCTGTCATACAGTGGCCATCAGGAGGTCCAGCAGTGGGGCCAGGACATTAGAAGCCCTCCCACTGTTGCCCCACCCCCAAGCACCAAGAATACAGAGCATCACTTACCCCAGACTGAAAGTTCCTAACTATACCTTCTTGCTAATAGCCACTGATGGACTTCTGCTCCATATGCTTATCTAATTTCCTCTTGAAGCTGTCCATGCTTGTAGCCACCACCACTTCCTGTGGCGGGAAGATCTCAAGAGACTATTACCAACCCAAATGAACTACCTGCAAGTGAGCATCCTTCACAGTTATGTCAAGGGAATGGGCAGGGAATAGCCATGGGACCTTTCCACTTCACTTCTAAGCAGCTCTTGGGTTGGTAGAATTATCAGGCTCGCTGGGTAAGGAGGGAGGGAGGCCTTCTGGGGCCTGGAATCTGGAGGCTCATAAGCTGTGGCTCTTGAGTGGCTGCACTATCTTGAGTGGCTGCACTATCGTTAAATACCAGGCAAAGCGAGTGGTTACCTAAGAACCGCCCTGCTGGATGAGGCCAAAGTTACATCTAATTATTCCAACAGCGGTCCCCTGGATGTCTTCAGGTCTTCCTCTTAGGTGGAGATGGGTTTGAGTGCTTTCTTTGGAGCTGTTCTACCTTGCAGGGGTGGCCGCCACCCAAGAGCAAGTGGCTTATGCTGAATCACGCAGCACTCTCTGTTGTGGTGACAGCAGTCAGTCCTCACCCCAAGAGAGTGGGACTGTGTGTTCTTCAAGAGACTCCCACTGAACCTGTCTGCCCAATAAACACAGAGTCAGGTTTTCCGTTGAAGCAGTTTGAGCCACAAGAAGATAGAGAAAGCACTGTAGCCACCTTCTGTCTCCCCCAGGAGGCAAGCAACCAAATCCTTCCCAAAGGCCAAGTCCTTTCAGCCCCTTTCAGCTGGTGTTTGGGGAGGATGGAGCAGGACAGACTCTTCTAGGGTCTTATCTGGACTTTTTGACACTGCGAAAAGGCACGTAAAACTATTCCTACAGCAGTCCCCTGGATGTCATCAGGCCTTCCTATTAGGTGGAAATGGTTTTGAGTGCTTTCTGTGGAGCTGTTCTGTTTTGCAGGGGTGGCCTGCAGTGGATAGTCCCACCAGTTAACACTGCCACCCAAGGGCAAGTGTCTTCCACCAAATCACACAGCACCCTCTGTTGTGGTGACGGGAATCAGTCCTCACCCCAAGAGCGCGGGATTGTGTGTTACTGAAGAGATTCCCACTGAAACTGTCAGCCCAGTAAAGACAGAGTCAGGTACTCAGTTGAAGCAGAGTTTGTTTGAGCCACAACAGGACAGAGAAAGCACTCTAGACACATCTCCCCAAGAGGCAAGCGACCAACTTCTTCCCAAAAGCTAAATCCCTTCCACTCCCTTGAGGCAGGAAACCATCTGCCAAAGAAAAGCACAAACACACACACACAGAAAAAAACCAGGTATACCTGTCCACTCAACGTGCCCCGATGCCCGAGGTTCTCCAACGCTGGCCGTCACCATCTACCCCTGTCCCCAGGAAAGAGGGTTGACAGCAGTGAGAACCCTCTGCTGCTCTTAAGGGTCTGCCAGACTAACTTCCCCACGTTTAGATTCCATCACCCTGGTCATGCTGAACACCTGGATAACTGCATGCTTGCTGTGTGGTCGCTGCGTCCTTCAGGTGCTTGGGAGGATGGAACAGGACCGACTCTTCTGGCTATCTCTTGCTGTGCTTCTAGGAAAGGCAGAACTGCCTGGATGGTTCAGACATGGCTGTGCTTTAGATAATAGAGGAGCACAGCTAGGGGGAAGAAAACTGCTCAGAAAGAGCAAAAACTGACCTTGAGAAAGGTGCCCCACACTGCAAGGCTGGTATTCTCATCTGTCACTACCTGCCCCCCAACAAATGGCACCTTTTCCAAAAACCACGAGGCCCCCCTGTGAACTATGGGATTCACTTGGTGAGTTCCTGGCCTCCCCCCCCCCCCGGGAAACATGTATTTTGGGGAGGGTGAAAACCAGCTCCTCCTGGCTCTGTTGACAACTGGAAGGAAACTTCCAGTGTAGTTGCAAGCCTGGACATCTTGATAACCTCTTGTACTTAATCGTCAAGTACAGAGAGTCAGAAGTCAAAATACATAGTAAGTCAATTGGGAACCGGGGGGAACAATATTTTGCCATTTCCCCCTGTAAAATACATATCAGGAATTTGGGGAGGAAAGGGACTGAGAGAATATGAAAACAGCTCTACAGGAGGGCCTGGTAGGGATAAGGCGTGACCAGCGTATCAGTTTTGGAGGAAAGATGGTTGGATAACAGAAATGCACACCTTTTCTTGGGCAGTGCCTGACTGGTGCCTTGGCTTCTTGCATGGATGATGATTGAAACTCTTTCTTTATTCCAGGAGCAGATGCAGAGGAGACATCTGGGGAATTCCAGGGGTTCTCTTTGGAAAAAGTCAAGAATGAAGATGTTGACGGACACTTCGGTGATGGACATGGACATGCACCCCAGAGACCGGAGGGAAGCCAAGCAGGTAAGAGGAGGGATAAGCCCATTCCTTACTGAGGAAGGGGTTTCTGTAAAATCCCAGTCCAAGAAGAAAGGTCAGTCAAAAAGATAAGGGACAAAGGCCTCCATATTACCCAGGGAATCCACTCCAGGGAAACTGAAAGTGTGGCCTTGGCAGAAACTTCAGTCAGAAAATGAACATCATTTTGCAGACACAGTTCCCTTAGGAGAGAAACCGTGTAATTGCTTGCAGTGCGGAAAGAACTTCCGTCAAAAAAGAGCCCTTACTACACATCAAAAAACTCACACCGTTGGGAAACCATATAAACGGTTAGAGTCCAAACCAAACATCTCTCATGCAGGAGGCTTCATGTACTTTTAAAGTGTCTGTTATTGTAGACTTCAGCATACAGTGGGAAGAGGCCACTGTAATATTTGGATTGCAGATGGAAATTCAGGTGCAGATCAGAGCTCCTTGCATGGGTTCTAACAGGATCTCTTTCTATATTCCAGCAGGGGATGATGAGAGGAATGAGAAGGTTGAGGAACTGCATCCTCTATTGCCAGATGAAGTCAAGAAAGAAGACATGAGAGGAAACTTCAGAAACCAAGTTGGACCTAAGAGGCAGAAAAGAAGCCACATCATGCAGAAGAGGGGTAAACCCATTCCTTGCCAAGGGGGGGATTTCCAAGAAGTAATTCACATGGTGAAGGAAACATACAAGTGTCTGGCATGTGGAATGAACTTCTCAGATCAGTTGCAGTATAATGTCCATTTACAATTGCACAGTGGAAAGAAGACACATCACTCGCCAGAGTGTGGAAAGACCATGATTAGCAGAGCAGAGCTCCTTAGAGATCAAGGAACACAAAGAGGAGAGAAACCTCATAGCTGCTCAGACTGTGGCAGGAGATTCTCAGACAAATCAGACCTTGTTCAACACCAAAGGATACATACAGAAGGGATGTTCTCTGTGGGAGTAAAAGGGAATATATGTTTTCCAAAGCACAGTATAAGGAATGCATGTAAATGCTTTTGGTGTGGAAACTACTTCAAATACAGATCACAGCTCCTTGTGCACCAACGAATCCACAGAGGGGAGAAGCCTTTTAAATGCTCAGAGTGTGGGAAGATATTCAGTCGCGGTGACCATCTTCAAGAACATCTAAGAATCCACACAGGGGAGAAGCCTTTTGAATGCTCAGAATGTGGGAAGAGATTCATTCGCAGTGGCCACCTTCAAACCCATCTAAGAACTCACACAGGGGAGAAGCCTTATGAATGCTCAGAATGTGGGAAGAGATTTAGTCACAGAGTCAGTCTTCAAAAACATCTAAGAAAACACGCAGGGGAGAAGCCTTTTGAATGCTCAGAGTGTGGGAAGAGATTCAGTGACAATAGCGCTCTTCAAACTCATCTAAGAACCCACACAGGGGAGAAGCCTTTTGAATGCTCAGAATGTGGGAAGAGATTCAGGTGCAGTAGCCATCTTCAAAACCATCTAAGAACCCACACAGGAGAGAAGCCTTTTGAATGCTCAGAGTGTGGGAAGAGATTCAGGTGCAGTAGCCATCTTCAAAACCATCTAAGAACCCCCACAGGAGAGAAGCCTTTTGAATGCTCAGAGTGTGGGAAGAGATTCAGGTGCAGTAGCCATCTTCAAAACCATCTAAGAACCCCCACAGGAGAGAAGCCTTTTGAATGCTCAGAGTGTGGGAAGAGATTCAGGTGCAGTAGCCATCTTCAAAACCATCTAAGAACCCCCACAGGAGAGAAGCCTTTTGAAAGCTCAGAATATGGGAAGAGATTCCATGAGAGTAGCTCTCTTCAAAAACATCTAAGAACGCACACAGGGGAGAAACCTTTTGAATGCTCAGAATGTCAGAAGAGATTCAGTCGCAGAGACTCCCTTCAAACTCATCTAAGAACCCACACAGGGGAGAAGCCTTTTGAATGCTCAGAATGTGGGAAGAGATTCCATGAGAGTAGCTCTCTTCAAAAACATCTAAGAACCCACACAGGGGCGAAGTCTTTTGAATGCTTAGAGTGTGGGAAGAGATTCAGTCAGAGTGGTGCTCTTCAAAATCATGTAAGGACCCACACAGGGGAAAAGCCTTTTGAATGCTCAGAGTGTTGCAAGAGATTCAGTCACAGTAGAACTCTTCAAAATCATCTAAGAACCCACAAAGGGGATAAAGGTTTTGAATGTTCAGGATGTGAGAAGAGATGCAGTAGTATTCTTCAAGAATATCTAAGAACCTGTAGGGATATTGGGGGGGCTCAGGCCAATTCCTGGGATCCCCAACCCCATTAGGGTTTTTTTTCTATGGGTAAGTGGAGTCTGGCTAGGGAGGCCTCCAGAGGGAGAGAAAACACAGTGAGAACAGTTGCCTTTTACCAATGAACTCTAAAACCATACACAGTAAAAGTCTTTACTAACTCTAAAACCATGCACAAGTAAAACATAATAGCATATATTCAATATCAATACCTAATAGCGTGTAGAAAATTTCCAGTGCTTGGTATAGTGTACACTTCAGAAAGAACAAGGAATTCCTGGACTGTGGACCAAGACCACACTTATGCCTAGGTGGGTTGTTGGCTAAATAGCCTCAAACAAATCCCAAAGCCTCCTTTTCAAATTTTAATTGTTTTCAGCCAGCAGGAACAGTCTATACCCAGTTGAAAAAAGGTTTAGGTCTATCATCGATACTGAAAAACAGATGATCCAAACAATTACTGATTGTTCTGAAGGCTGCCATCGAACCGAGAAACATGCTTTTGTTGAGTTCTTCGTGGAGATCTGAATAGCAAGCTTTGCCTCTGCCTGAAATAGCCCCTGTGCTGAAGAAGACCAGGGATTAGTGCTGGGGGACTGCAGCAAGGTGGTGGAACCAAGGCAGCTGGATCACTGGGTTGGCCTTGAGAACTGGGCAATAGCAAGAGGGCTTGGAGCCGAGAGCAGCAGAGAATCGTTTCTGACGAAGAAGAGGAAGAGTTGGATTTATATCCCACCCTTCACTGGGAGGCTTACAGTCTCCTTCCTTTCCTGTCCCCACAACACACATCCGGTAAGGGAGGAGGTGGGGCTGAGAGAGCTCTGAGAGAACTGCTCTTAACAGAACAGCCCTTCATGGGCTTGGACCCTCATCTTTGTGAGACCGCCACCACTATGCACCACCACACCAGCTTTGCTCCTCTGTGGGAGGTCGTCTGCAGGAGCCAACCTGCAAAAGGTCAAAATCAAGAACTGCCCATACCTGTGCCTTCTCTGTTGTGGCCCCCACCTTAAGACACGCCCTGCCTGAGGAAGTTAGGAAGGCTCCCATTCTCCAGTCTGTCTGCAAACCATGCAAAACAAGGATTCCAGAGAGCTTTTGTATGCATGCGATAGAGGTCACTGTACTGAATGGCTCACAAAATTACTTGCATAAATGATTAGGGACTGTGGTCTGTGCTGCTGTGTTTAGCTTAGTGAAACTAGGATCCTCCTGTGTAATTTAAGGTGTCATGTTAAGACTTATGCTTTTGCTTTAGTGCTGTTTTTAGATATCTGATTGGTTCGACAACCTTTGTTTTGTTTGTTGAATGCTCCATCTTGTTGATTGTATTGATTCACTCTCTGTAATCTGCCTTGAGTCCACATGAGAGAGGCAAACTATAAATAAATAAATAATATCTGGCTGAGTCTCCTCATCTCCCCAAGCCCCACCCTCTCCAAGGCTTAACCTCTAAATCTCCAGGAAATTGTCAACCTGTAACTGGCAACTCTAGAAATGCCTGGCCCCCAATGATTCCTCCTCAAAGGCCAAAACGCATATGAAAAGGACCCTGTCCTCTCCCCTACCTTTTACTCACAGAAACCCAGTATAGAATGCTGTGGTTGCTTAACAACAGCCACTGAGGCAATCCATTTCTTAAAGCTACAGGTGCTCCTTTTATCATATGGTGTGTTGTTGTTTTTTTAAAAAACCATTTTCCCCTAATATATTTCATATTTTTCTGCAACCCTGGGGAAATTTTCAGTTTGTACAAAGATTTGTCTTCCTTTTACAATTCCAGTCACTACATTTATGGATGCTCAGATTTTGTCAACTTTGCTATTGGAATATGTGATTTATTTTATTAAAACATTTATGTTCTGATTTCCTTGCGGTTCAAGTCAGCTTACAGTAATACATTTTCAGCTAAAACCAAAATCAACATAGCAAACCTCACATTTCTCCCCCTCCCTTCCAGTACCTTCTTTTTCTGCTAAAGCATTTCCATTTCTAAAGATTTCTTCTTTCGTAAAATGAATGGTGACTGGGTGCCATCGCCAATAGAATATTAGGTCAATGTGGCAGTTTCCAAACTGTAATGAATGTTGTTCAGGTAAAATGTTGATTGCCATTTTGGTGTTGCCAAGATAGTCGTGCCTTAGTTACCAAGTGTTCACTGTTATTTTCTGGACAACTTATTCTTTCCTAAGAATTGGAGAATGTTCCCTGACTTTACTGGGCTAATTTTTTATTCCCTTTTGTTTTCTGCCTAGCTTTCCATTGGATGACAGTGCATCTGAGAGTGCACAGAGTGCCTTCTTATACCAATGAGCAAGGACAGGGAGGGTTTATAACCCTGGAACTGGCAGTTAAAAGGCACCTTTGATCTCTTCCTTAGTTTGAAAAAATAATCATTATAATAGTTCTTTTATTTCCTTCTGTGCACCGCAGCTAGTAAAGGGTTAAGAAGCAGACAGTGTTGAGGTTCCTAGAGAGGAGACAAAGTCCTCCTTTGGGGCACTCTGGCTTTCCTTCCAGCAGAGCAGGAGGGCTGGGTCTTGAGAGGCCAGGCTGGGGGGGGGGGTAAAGACCAGCGGGACAGGGAGGAAAAGCGGTGCCAGGCTGGGCAGCCCCACAGGAGGGTCTCTCTGGGTCCTTCATGCCAGAGAGGAAGAGGTCAGGCCGGCCTCCACTGCAGTGGGAAATGGTTCCGTTCGGCATAGTTTGCAGACAGCCAGGAGAGCGGGAGCCTTCCTGGTTCCCCCAGGGGCAGCCCATTCCATCAGGTGGGGGCCACTACAGAGGAGGCATGGGTCTGGTCAGTTGTGGGTTGTGCCCATTTTCAGGGTGCCACCTAGAGGAGTCTCTGCTCAGAGGAGAGAAGCCATCCTGGCAGAGCCCAGGGGGAGAGGCAGTCCCGCAGACCATAGAGAGACCGCCATGAAGGCCTTTGTATAGGGTTGCCAGACCCCCTGGTTCCGCAGGGGTTTCCCGATTTGGGGGGCTCCTATCCGCCTCCAGCACGCTGGATAGTGGGGAAGATTCCCTGCCCCCTGGAGTGACCAACCGGCCTCCCCCATGTCTCAACAGCATTTAAAGAGACCCTTTAAGTGCTACTGGTAAGAGGCAGGGGATGCGCAACTGCACTGCAAGCCACCTCTTCCCAACAGCATTTAAAGAGACCCTTTAAACGCTGCTGGAAGGTCCGGGGGCCGCGCACCTGCACTCCAAACCCCAAATCTGGAGCTTGGAGTGGAGGTGCACGAGGCCTTCCTCCCCCTTCCCAGCAGGGTTTAAAGAGACCCTTTAAACGCTGCTGGGAAGAGGTGGGGGCTGCCGCTCCCCAACATGATAACATCACTTCTGTGTGATGTCATCACGTTAGGGACATCCCACCCCCTCTAATAAAGGTAAAGATTCCCTTGCTCGAAAGCCAGTCGAGTCCGACTCTAGGGTTGCGGTGCTCATCTCCGTTTCAAAGCCGAAGAGCCAGCGCTGTCTGAAGACGTTTCCGTGGTCATGTGGCCGGCATGACTAAACACCAAGGCGCACGGAACGCTGCGACCTTCCCACCGAAGTGATACCTATTTATCTACTTGCAATTTCTTGCTTTTGAACTGCTAGGTTGGCAGGAGCTGGAACCAGAGACGGGAGCTCACTCCGTCATGCGGCAACTCGGGTCTCGAACTGCTGAACTACCGACCTTCCACAGCCTGCAGTTCAGCGTCTTAACCACCTGAGCCACTGCAGCTCCTTCTAGTAACCCCTTCTAGTAACACCCCCCAAAGTCCCCCGCCAGGGACTCTGAGGGACCTGGGAACCCTAGTTTTGCCATTTGCCAAGAGGTGTTTCTCCTTCAGTGGGGGAAGGTATCCAGACTGGTTAGGTCACGCCCCTTCTCGCTTCAGGCAGGGCTACGTAAACGTTTGTGTATGCCTACTTGGACAGAGCCGAGGGCGCCCTTCCAGTTTCGATAGCCCTGCCGCTTCAGGAGGTCTAGAGCCTAGCTCCATTTACCAGAATTGACAGTTAACCCCACACAGAGTGTTATGACGGCAGAGCCTGCCAGAGGTACGAAAGCTATGGCTGAGAAGGCACCTAGGAAGGCTCCAGGCTCTGGGGCTTTAGACAAAAAAGAGCAAAATTCTGGCAAACCTTACCCGCCCGATGCCTCAGACAGAGGGGAGGGAGCACCACAGACTGCCGGGGCACATCGGAAAGAAGACCGGGCGGGGGCTCCCGAGGCGTTGGGAAGCCACACAGCCAGCGCCGCGATTCCCGGGTCTGGGACGGTCCAAACGGCTCCGGAGGCCAAGAATGGCCGAGGAGGAGAGGCGCGAACCTGTAAGACAGAACCTCTGTCCCTGATGGTGTTTGCCCGGGCCAATTTGAGAAAACACACAAAAGCAGTCCTGTAGAGTTGGAAACCAAAAAAATAATTTATTAATTAATAAGGAAGAATACAGATTCAAGGGTTTTGGAACCCTGAATACCCAACAGATTCTTCAAGTGTTACAGTGGGTGAAATAGCATTTCATACTTCACATTACATTAGAGAAATAAAACAGAATTATTGGTTCCATCAAACATTGTCAAATTTCATCACCTATTTCCCATTGGGTTAAGACCTTGGGGGGGGGGGGGGGATATGGTTACAGAGTGCTTACTGTTCTTCATTCTAGCTAGGCTAACTGACATCAGAAACATGTGCAGTTGTAGCTGGCCAGAACGAGCAAGGTCGTGGGTAGCATAACTGTGTATCAGCATTTCAGCCTTCTTCCCAGCATGCATTCAAATAACAGTCACAAATGAACCAAAGTTAATACCTGAATACATTCACGATGTCAGAATCATATGCATTATGGAAGTGCTAAGCACACCTGCCAAGTCAAACCTGTTAGGCGGTGGCAGAGTACGAAGTGGTTCATAAAATGCGTACAACAAACCTGCAGCGC